CTTCCTTAGCTAAGTCCGATCATTATTAATAAAGAGCTTTATAGTCAAATTAATAAAAGGGGTAGTTTAGTTGCGGCCCCTAGCCTAACTATTATTGTCACAGCCCGTCCTGAATAACTAATTTTTGTTGATGTGAAATGACAATTTCGCCCTTGGACGTTAAAGTGCGTGGTGTGTGATTTGTTTTGAAATGAGATTAATTGAGTTTCCCTAAGTTTTTTTGGAACCACTTAGGAACTAAAAAACTTTGGTTATGATAGAATGTTGGCTAGTTGTCGACCACACACATCACCTCTCCCTTCTCTCTCTTCTTCCTGTGCTCTCTCTCATATCTCGGACTCCCTCTTTCTCCTTCTTCTTGTACGGAAAAACACTAATGACCTTTCAAACCTCACTGATCAAGGAAGAAAATGGTACCATTGTGTTCGTGAAGCCCAGACGAGTCAATTGGTACTCATTTCAGGTAAGGATACCTTCGAAAACCCTAGTTTTTCATACCTTCGAAAACCTTAGTTTTTCATAACCCCGATTTATGCATTGTTCATGCACATGTAATTATGGATGTTTTTAGGAATTTGAAGCTTGTAGGAAGCTTAGTAAGGTTCCAAGGAAGCTCGGAGTGCTTCGTTTGAAGGTTTTGGACGTCGGGATCGTGTGGACAAAGTTTGGCCGGTTTTCTTGGAATTCTCCGGTGAGATTCCATGACTTTTAGAACTTTAAATTAGTATTATTGTGTTCTATAAGTTAAGAGCTTCATTTTGATATAAAATACGTGAAAAATGGTGTAAAAACGAGTGAGAAATGGGCAGTTGCAGGTCTGCCCAGAATCCGACGCCGGTGACACAGTTCCGGCGTCTGGAGGTTGGAGGTTGAAGGCGATGTTCGTGAGGTTGTATAGATCAATGTGGTATATTCATATACCCAAATTGAGCAATGTATGAGAAGTTATTAGCTAGTCTTGTCTATATGCTTTAAAATAACGTTTTTATAGTTAATTCGCATATAGGTGAGACTTATCCCGAGGACGAGCATATCCAGGGGCAACTCGGGGGTTACGACCCATCGACATATCAGTGAGTGGGCTTTTGTTTTCAGTATATACTTATATACTTGATATATTTCCCAAAAATGCATTTTAAAGAAAGTATGCTTTGAAATAAAATGCCAAATGCTTTTATATTTTGAATATGCATTCATGGTTGCATATATATATATATATATATATATATATATATATATATATATATATATATGTGGTGTTGTGAAGGCACATGTAAGTTCAAGTAAGTTACGTTTGGTTATGTGAATCATCGATGATGTGATATGTGATTAAATAATGTTAAGCTCATAAAACTGCACCTAGGGTGATTGTGATTTAGCTAGAGATGAGAAGTACATGCCTGTTTATTTACATCACCTCCCGCACTATATACTCATATTGGATCCAACTTAAGTGCACAGTCTTGTTGTACAGACTTTATTCATGGTTCCGACTCGTAGGTGACTAGCGATTTATCGCCTGGCTATTATGAGAGAATAGAGTTGAGCATAATAATATTGCACCCAATCTTGTCGTACAGACCCTGTGTAGGGGTTCTGACTTATGTGTAGTATATTGCCGTATAGGTCATAGTAGTGACTCCGGCTAGATTGAGTTTGAGCTATGAATTCAGCCGTACAGACTACCACAGAAGTTCCGTCTAACATATCATATTTCTATGAAATTATTATTAACTGTATTTTTTACTTTGTTACATTTTGGCATGGCATACATATGAATATAATTATGTGAAGCATGAACTGAAGTGATATGATTTTAGATATGTATATATATATATATATATATATATATATATATATATATATATATATGTATATGCTTATATCTTGATTCTGGGAAAATGATACATGTTTTACAGCGATGGGTTAGTTATGTTGATAAATGAAATGATTTTGTAAAACATTTGTTTTTGCCTACTCACGTTTTCTGTTTTGCGCCCTTCCAGGTTCTAAGTAAGCTTGTTGTCGGTGGCTCGGGATCGTTGGCAGTTCTGACCTATTTGAATAATAGTAGGACATTCCTAGTACTGTGTAACTAGTACTTGTCCTACTGGACTGCACCTAGACTTTATTCTCTGATTAGGAGTGTTCACTGTTGTAACTAACTCCTATCACTTTCTGTTTAGTAGTGCACTCTAGAAATTTGGTTTTTAATTATTCGTATATTCTTATATTTATTGCTTCCGCACTGTGCACATGGCTACGTCACTCTCACGCGATGGCCAGCATGCCTTGATCTCGGTCGGGGTGTGTCAATCAATTATAAACTCAAACTTTGTGCATTTTAGGTTTTAAATTGAAGTCCCTCTCTTACCATATAATTAACATAATTATAAAAGAGATGCAATAATACCAATGAAGACTCAAACTGTTATTTTGCTTTCATTTACACTACCAATTTAATTATTGAAATTTGCTTATGGGTTTCAAAAAAAAAAAAAATAATAATTGCTTCTAGGTGCGTTCTAGATTTATTTTCATTTTTATAAAGTATGAGTACATTTATATAAGGGTACATTTTACATATAAAAAATTGGTACATTTATATAAAAATGTGGGTACATTTCACATACAAAAAATTGGTACATTTTATACAAAAAAAAAAAAAAATGGGCACATTTTATATAAATTAAATGGGTACATTTTATATAGAAAAACAATGGATACATTTTATATAAAAAAAACAATGGGTTTTACATTACAAAAATAAATAGATTTTACATTAAAAAATTGGTACGTTTTACATAAAAAGAAGGGAGTTTTAATGAAAATCCCGCGGTACTGTTCACTTTATAGAAAAACCACATTTTTACACTAAAAAGTCAAACCTGGTACTATTCACTTTACTCTTTATTTTATCCTTATCATTAAAACTCAAAGTTTTCAAGCCTTTTTCATTGGTTTTCCTTAAAAAGAATGGTACTTACAAAACAAAACAAAATTGGTACATTTTGCATATAACAAAGTGGTGCATTTCTAAAGAAAAATGGACACATTATGTGTAAGATTCCACATCGCTCAGGAGTGAGGATCATGTAAGCCTTATATGTATATTCTCATCTCTACCTAGCACGAGGCCTTTTAGGAACTCATTGGCTTCGGGTTCCATCGAAACTCCGAAGTTAAGCGAGTTCAGGAGAGAGCATTCCTATGATGGGTGACCCACTATGAAGTTATCGCGTGAGTTCACAGAAACAAAACCGTGAGGGCGTGGTCGGGGCCCAAAGTGGACAATATCGTGCTACGGTAGAGTCAAGCCCGGGATGTGGTGGGGGCCCGGGCTAGGATGTGACAATTTGGTATCAGAGCCAATCCCTGGTCGGAAGTGTGCCGACAAGGACATCGGGCCCTTAAAGGGGGTGGATTGTAAGATCCCACATCGCCCAGGGGTGAGGATCCTGTAAGCCTTATATGTATATTCTCATCTCTACCTAGCACGAGGCCTTTTGGGAGCTTATTGACTTCAGGTTCCATCGGAACTCTGAAGTTAAGTGAGTTCGGGTGAAAACATTCCTATGATGGGTGACCCACTGGGAAGTTCTCGTGTGAGTTCCCAGAAACAAAACCGTGAGGGTGTGGTCGGGGCCCAAAGCGGACAATATCGTGCTACGATGGAATTGAGTCCGGGATGTGGTAGGGGCCCGGGCCGGGATGTGACATTATGAACAAATTACGTATACAAGTAAAAGGTTAAAAGAATTATGAGTACAAATAAAACTTTAAAAAATATGGGCACAAAAAGAAATTAATACATGGGTACAGATTAAAACTGAAACGAAAATGGGTACAATTTAAAAAAAAAAAAAACAGTTGCATATTAAAAATGGGTATGAACTAAAAATAAAAATATATGATACAATGTTTAGCCATAAATATAAATATACCAAATGTAACATTTCTAACACTAAATGAATATATTTAGAAATACAACTCAATTGAAAAGAAATAAAATTCAATTATTATGACATGTAAATATTTTATTATTGCAATAATTTATGAGATTTATTAAAACTTAAGGACCTTGGTTAAAAATTCAAAAGAAATAAGGCTTTAATCAATGAAGTAGAAAAAAAAAAAAATATGAGAACCTAATTTCTCCTTAATAAAATAACTAAAGCTTTCTCACATCGTGTTATCATGCAGGGCTAGGTATTGTTTGTGTGTGTGTGTGTGTGTATCTTGTTATCATGGCTATTCGAGTTCTTAGACTGCAAACGAAATGTGAGGAAGAAGAGTATGATTCGGATGTTTAAATGCGCCAAGCAGATCCTAGCAGAGAAAAAGAGCAGAGGATCCAAATCCCTACTGAAAACTTTTCCTCGCGTTAGAAAAGGGATCCTTTCCGGATCTCTTCCTCTTAACCTACCAAATCAGAGAATCCATATCATTAAAATTTGATCCAATGGCTACAAACAGGGGTCCATTTTAAAAGTTATAATAACTTCAGTTGTTGAATCAAATTTCAATAGCACGGATCCCCTGATTTGGTGGATTAGGAGAAAGGGATCCAGAGATCGAGAATCCCTTTCCCTCGAGTTATTGCATATACTGTTAATTTACAACAAAATTTTCTTTTCAGCTGGATTCATACATATTACTTAACAAATACTTTAAACCTTTTAATTAGTATTAGGACAAATAAATCTCTGTTCCTTAACCTTAAATTCCCTTTCTATTTACTATATTTAACCAATTAATTAAAATTATAAATATACATAGCACATACAAAAGCATGTGATTAGTTCAACTTAATATAACCACCTATAACCTTAAATTATAACAAAATCTTACAATAACTATTGACCTACAAATTTTGATCATATCAGATCAAAAAACAACTATTCAAGCAGTAGAATGAAATACTCAAATGGAAAATCATTTTCCTTAATTACTAGCTCAATTAGGTAGCATTGTTGAAAATTAGAGTACTACCAACAAACTAAAGATGAACTATGAACATTATTTTATTAAACGGAAAACATATAAACAAGATTTCCGAAATGGCTACAAACTGAGGATTACATCTTGACTAACTTAATTCTCATACTAAACTACAACCTATATTTATAAAGAACTTTTCCGACAAGGTTTTGAATTTTAATAATTTTTAGATGTACCATCCTTTTATAATACCTAGCCTTAAGGCTTTACCACTTGTGAACCCGTAGGGCAGTCTTGTCACAACATTTTGAATCATCAACTCGTTGACACTTGATATGCTTCCATGGGAAACTTGTAACCCTAGCCCCTTGAGTACATTCATCAGTCTAGCATACGGGTAGTCTTGATTGGGACACAGAACTCGAATTATGGCTTCCGATGAACCTATAATCTTAACATCCACTTCCACACCACAACCACCTACTCTATTACTATCATAACTTGAATTTTTTCCAAGATTAATAATGTTAATTACGTTATTATTATGATCCACTTTGGATTTCTGGGGTGGTGGTAATTGTGCTTGGATTTTGGCCTCCAACGCCTCAACTTTTGCTTTGAGCTGGTTGATGTATGCCACTGCATCGGCAAGCAATGAGGATCTATCCATTTTAGACACGTTGGGGACAACTGAACGGAGGACACAGAATAGGTGGTTGAACTTAACCCTTCTCAATCTCTCTGCCTCGACGTGACTAAGCAATTGTGATGCTCTGGTTGCAGCTCCATGGTTTGATGATGGTCTTCCTCTTTTTTTCGATTGAGTGTTCTCTATGTTTTTAGAGGTGAATTTTCCAACAGAGTTAGAACGTGAGTCTGGTGGTGATATTGATGATCCACCTATATTTATAGGTTTAGCTTCGTTTCCACCACTTTCTGGTCAAAATGTAAAAATAATTAATCAGTCAATGACTCAATTGAAACAAAATTTTGGGGATCCTCTTCGAAATAAAAATTGGTGTCAGATACTGCAATTTGATTTTCGTACTTGGGCTAAGTATACAACAGCATTATGATATAATATATATATATAATGTAAATTGCATGAATATAATGTAATAGCAACATATTGCACAAGTAGATTATTATGCAAATGATATAACGTAGTAGAGATTGATTTACACGTGTCATTGTATTATTAACACGAAATGTTATGACGACGATTACTTGTTCTATGTAAACTTTTATTGTATAATGTACATATTATGTATGTGAGCTAGTTGATATATCACGATAGAGATAAATGAAAAGAGAAAAGTTAAGGAGTGGAGAGATCCAGCGTATAAATAAAATCATACATAATTACTTATTAATTAAAGTTATGTTTAAATTGATTTAGAGTTTGACATATACCAATAAGAGTAATGCTAGGAATACTACATTTGTAGATAAAATTTGCATATCGAATTATGTGTTACCAATAGGAAATGAGCACGTTTCTCAATATTTAAGTAATAATTCAATCATCAACTTCCATGTCGTTTAATTTACAAAATTTTATTTACAAATTTAGTCTTTAGTATTACTCACCAATAAACTATATTGTAGTGCTATTATAATAATATATTGTTGTATTAAAAAGAAATTGGCGTTTTGGATACCTTGTGTGGTCAACTCCTCTTGAGCTCCTAAACACCGTCCATTTTTCAAGGTAGGAACCAGTCCACTGGCCTCACGGCTGGCCTGCTGGTTTGAGAGCCTGTTGTGGCCATCGTCGTCGTCGTTAGATCGGAATAGTGACTTTGTTAGGTGCACAAGACCCCAATCTTGCTTGATCACATCCAAAGAAGCCAGTTCAACCACCCCACTCAAAGTTGCAATACAAACCAAAGTTTGGATTCCATGCATTCTTGCTTCTTTCACTCTCTCACACTCGTACAATTGAAACTCATGATCCCCTGCAAGCCAAACAAATCCTCCGGAACAAAATGCTTGTCCCAGAATGTTATTATCTGCAGTAAATGATTGGGTTAAAGAAACGCTGTAAAAGTAAAACCACTCAGAGTCAGTAACATCTCCATCATCATTATTCCCCACAAAATCCACATCGCTGAACCCTAATTTGGGTTGGTAACTATTAATGTCACTGCTTTTGTAATGGCCGCCGCCCCATGACAAATTGTTGTCTCCGGTGGCTTCCCAGAAAATAGCATACACCCAACATTCAGCAGCATTGTTCTCAACTATGAACTGTAGGCGCTGTTTGAATGTGGAAGATGATGGATTGTCTCGAAAATTGGGTGAAGAAAAAGAGGATAAGATTGCTTCCATGGCTACTTATTTGCTCTTTGCTACAAAGTCAAACAAGTGAGCGAGTGAGGAGTGAACTACAGGTGATTGGTTATGGGGATTTATAAAAGGATCACCATGCTTTGTTAATTTGTTTGGTGGATAGGGATGGGTATTGGGCAAAAATAGGTGGATTTGGTGCGACGGTTTATTTAATATTTTTTTTTTCATTTGAATTGTTGTTGCAACGGAATAATTTTTTAGTATACTTGAAACGTGACTACTTAACTTTGTTTTTTTAATTCACATGATTTGAATTTGTTTTTATTTAATACACCTTAATCATAATTTTAATATTCATACAACTCTTGTTGCAACGATATATTTTTAAGGGTTTTTATCACAAGTAGTTCCTGAAATTGACGCATGTTCTCACTTTGGTCCTTCAATTTCAAAATCAATCAATGTCGTCACTAAAATTAACTACCACACATCAATTTGGTCCCTACCCTTACAATCCGTTAAATATTTTGTTAATATATTGAGGTGGCATATAAGTGGGACCCATTGCTCCAATAATACATGCCATGTAGATTATATAAAAAATAATTAATTCTTTTAAATTGTTTAAGTTCTAAAATTTATTTTTTTAAAATGAAATGGAAAAAAAAAAACAAAAAAAAAAATAAAAAGGGGAAATTTCACAGCGGTCGTAACTTAGGGCTTTGCTGTAGAGGCGTCGGCGCTGCTATATTGGACGAAGGCCTTCAACTGGTGGTGACAAAGTGCGGTGTTGGCTGCAAGTGAGGAGCCATTAGAACCTCAGGTTCAGGTGAGGGGCAAAATTTGTTGTTCAATAAACAAGGTTTTGGAGCCAATTTCCAATTCGCAGGAGACAAGGTTTAAATTTAAATTTGTAATATTCATCAGATTGTCCATTAATTGGTTATGATTATAAGGGTCTGCATTCAGATTTTCCGTTTGGTTACTGGGAGTGGGCGAACAAGAAAATAGAGCTAAACCAAACCAAAAAGAGATTATCGGTGGTTTTACCCAGTTCCAAGTCTTGCTCAGAGACAATATCTCTTCTTCTTTTTTTTTTTAATGGTTTTAAAATTTTAACAAACTTTTTAAAAATGGTACTGTATAATTCATGTGTCATCATACATTATTGGAGCAATGGGATCAGGTCAGCACATTAACAGGAAATTTAACCGATTGTTACGGTAGGAACCAAATTGATGTAGGGTAGTCAATTTCAAGGACGACATTAATTGATTTTGAAATTAAAGGACCAAAATAAGGATATATGTCAATTTCAAGAACTGTTTATGATAAAAATTCTATTTTTAAATCTAGGCCTACATGTTTTGTTTAGAATTGTTGTTGCAATCGTAGGACTACTATAGCCACGTGATAAAACGTAGGATAGGGAAGATTAGGGGAAATAATTTGCATTTTTTTAAGTATTACAACTAGAATTTTCACCACGTTCTTTCCTGTTCTTATTTCTGCTGTTTGATTACTGTCAACATTCGAAAACGTGTTATAAAAATAGTAGGATTATGAAAAACATTTAAATACTGAAGGGATCTTTTCTCCTTTTTATTCATCTAATTATCAAGTTATGTCGAAGCATATGCCTACGATCTCTAATGGAATGTGAAGTTCTAAAATACGTTAAGCGCTATTCGGACGGCGGTTTGGGGCCTAGAACCTAAGCGGCTAGGTGGGGTCTAGGCAGGCGCCTAGTTTGACAGGCAAATTTAAGTAAAGCTATTATATTTCTTGTGAATAAGTGTCTGCTTAGACTTAAAATATATATATATAATTTCATTATAAACTACAAAATATAATGACATGCATATTATGAAGTATTGAAACATAATGAAAACATGGGAAACAAAAATATAATGCGTGTTCATTTAAGTATGTAACAAGTGTTCTACAATTTATTGAAAAATATAAAATGCAAAATGAAAGTTATCTATTTTCTATCTAAGTGAGTTGCGACCTAGGCGGGAGCCTAAGTAGGTCTGGATGGGCTAGGTAGGTGCCTAGGTGGTCTAGGCTAGGCGGGTGCCTCAACAAGTCTAGGCGCCATTTCTTAATTTTTAAACGTCTAGGCATTAATTGGGGCGGTGGACAACCACCAAGCGCCTAGGCGGTGCTAGGCGGAGATTTTTAGAATAAAAATATTTGAGATATCTTAGTCTCAACCAAGAAAAGAAAATACGACTAATAACACATTGAACACCAACTAGTACGTATGTGGTTTGGTGAAATTAGTTGATTTGTCCTCCAATTGATTTCAGCTGAATTCATACATGGTACTTGTTGACCCTAAAAACTACCAAGCCTACATGGTGCGCAGGTCGAGTAATTAATAAGCTTGGTCATAGTGATTATATTCGTGAGAGTATAAGCACGCCAAACTGGCACCAGACTATATGGACACACTCGAAAGAGATGTATGTCTTGATGGTAAATGTGGTTTGGCCGTCGAAATGTTGAACTCTAAAAGATACCTATGGATATCTAATCATAAAACAACTTGGCGTTCAACATGCTGAGTCTAGTAACCTATAACACCTCACTTCACCGAAAAGGCTAATCAGATGACCTCTGCCAACAAAGACTCGAAAACCCTTGTTAACCGAGACTTGGATAAATAACCAATTGACTTCGAAACAGTGTTGTTTATCCAAACTAAAGCTGCTCATCGGTTGGCTGATTTTACGGCTACAGTCTTGTTTATCCAAACTGAAGATGTCGCCGGTTGCCTTCATAATGCTGTTTATCCAAACTGAAGATGTGTTAAAGGAAGAAATATGAAAAGGATAAAATTTCAAGGTTGTTGAGAAGCTTTGCGCTAGGGCAATTTGTGTGTTAAATTGGAGGGGCTATGAATGATGCACCCCCTTCTCTATTTATAGTAGTAAACCCCCTCACGGCCGAGCTAAAACAGTACTCGGATTAGAACTCCTCAACCTAATCTGATTAGGTCTTGGCTAATCTTAACTCCAATAAGACTTTGAACCAACCTTTTTTAACGAACCAAGTTCATCCCTTAATTCTTAGCATCCTCAACCTTAACATTAAGACTCCTTGTTGCACTAGGTCTCGACTACCTCACTAATCTTCCTCGCAGTAGGACTCATCCAACCTTGATTAAATGACCCATGATGACTGGACGGCCCATAACAAAACTCTAAGTAGTCACTGGGCCGAGAGTCACTAAACTTGGCCTAAACTATCATTTTGAGCCCAAACATTGCCCCCTCGCTTCTGAGGTCCTCGGCCTACAATTCCTCTTTGAGCCTCAACCTAGAAAAAGCGAAAATAAACCCTTAGCATATCCTTGAAAGACATCGAAAAGCCTTGAATATCCCAACCACTCAGGCGCATTTATGAGGCATGATTGCACGATCTCAATCTTATCAGATTCCCTGCCACGTGGCATCTCTTTAGTACGTTGTCCTTCAATGATGACATTTAAGGCGTGCGGATATCGAAACATCTTCTTGCCATTAAACTTGTCATCACACACAATCGTGCCACCTCAAATCATGAGCTTTTCAGACTCTTTGAGGCTTGCGAACACTGAAACGTCCATTCGCCATAAAACCTGCCGTCACACGTAATCACGTATCTTCAATCCATGAACTTTCCGACCTCTTCACCTGGATTCTTTAAATATCCCCTATGATTACAAACTTTCCGGCTGAATTTACCCCTTATTTTTTTTCAAAATCGAACTGTTGATCTTCCTCCAAAACCCCTATAAATACTCAGTTCATCTTCATTTGTTTTTTTACGCTTCCAAATCTTTAGAACTTCTTACCATTTCCAAAATCCCTTTTCATTTGCTTTTAACCTAGAAAACCTTCAAGTCTTCAACAATGGCTGCCAACACTTTCATTACCAAGTTCGCCGATGAGTGTGACAAGTGCTGAGACTTTATCGATCGGAACACCATCAAACTCCTTCGTCACGAGGGTGATTCGAGTGCCTCCCACCAAACTCTAGGACCACTCTTCAAAGAAGATGTCCCAGAATCTCTCACCAATATGTTGAAGGCCCACTGCCTTAAACCCCTATTCCAAGGGTACGATTGGTCGAAATAGGAATCAGCCAAACCCCAAAGAGTTTGGCCCTCGTCTACCATAGCCTGGGTCGTTTGGGTTACCTACTTGAAGCCACACTTCAACGGTGAATGGAAGACCTTTGGTATTTTTTATGCCATTAAGCTTTCGATCTATGAAATTGTCATGGATCAAGAGCTCCTGATGGTTACCTTGAACTTCTGGTGCTCGACCACCAATACAATGGTCCTTCCCTTTGACCCCATCAACCCATCTGTTCTAGATATCATGGCCATTATTGGCACCTTCCCCTCTGGTTTCTAATCGACGCCGCTCTCTCACAGCACGAGTTCGACCTCAACCTAAAGACAATCTTCAACATTCATGCCATCGAAGTTTTAAAGAAGAAAAATCAAGGGTCGTTGAAAGAAGAAGTGCAAAAATTGGACAAAAACTTCTTCAATTACAGCACCTTGATTAACCACTTCGCCATCTCAGAATGGGAGGGCCTCAAGAAGGGAGAGCATGAAGCCTTTTTGTTCTATTGGTATAAAAAGCTCATCTTTTATACCAAATTGAACAAATGCTTGGCCGAGAACATGTCAGTGGTCGAACCCTTGGCCGGCGGTCACACCCTGGCCCTCAACCTGGCCATCCTCACCAATCTCACTCGGTGCTTGGCCGAGGCCTCCTCTGGGAAGATTGATCATACTAGAACGGTCCACTATGGGTCTTCCAACTCTGGCTGCAAGTCTACTTCTGCACACTAAGGCAAGAGATCCCTAGCTTCAACTCCTCTGAAGCGATGGGTCTTCAACTAGCCTCGCACCCCCTTATTGCTCATTCGGCCGAAGACATATTCAAATATTTCTTTAGCCTTGAAGACTTATCTGAGGAAAAATTTCTAGTCTGCCGCCGCCAGAAATACCTATCTTCCATCAGGCTCTTTACATCAACATGGGGAGAAGTAGAAGAGGCCGACCTTCGACAATCATAGGGGTCGTTTATCCTAACTTGAGACATTCCCTTTGGTTGTGATGCTTAACAGGCTAACTG